ATTTCTGTATTTGTCGTCCATTCAACTTTTAGAATCTTGACCACAAGGAACAAGGAACGTTATTTCGTTTTGTTCTAAAAGCCAACTATGCTATTCATGTTAAGCTGAAAAAAAAAATAAGCCATTAGCGGGGTGCTTTCAAGACAACGAAAATTAAAAGTCTTTTAAATTTACATTTAAAAAGTGGTCCCTTTACTCAGTTCAAGACAGCCGTACCCCGAGGTTATTAGCTGGTCGCATTAATCTCGTCCGCACCGTTTTCGTATGGGGAGTAATTATCCTTAATAAGCTATTTCTGTCCTTTGGCTGGAGAATTAGTTTTCTCTGGGCATAAAATAGGGGAGGAAGGGGAGGCAGGGAAAGGCAGGAAGGAACCACCCCAAGAAAACACACACGTACACGCAACGATTCTCGTCGTCAGAAGCCGCGATCATTTGGTCCGCTGAGCACACAAGCCGCGGCCGCAAACTGTTCAGCTGGTAGAAAATCGATTTTGTTTTTCTTCGCACTAGCGCTGGAAGTTTTACTGTATTCATTTACATTTACATCACTCAGCGAACTATTTGTGGCAGTTTAGTTTAATCATTTCGAACTTGATAGAGAGCTTCAACAAACCATGACGACGACGGCGACGAGAACGCCACCCAACAAAAGGTTTAATGAGTAGAACATTGGCTGTGCATGTGCGTTACAAATCTTTGTACATTTCTTAGCCATCCTCTGCAAAACAACAACGTGAAATGACCAGGTTCTACGTAGTCTGGGAACTCCAATAAAGACGGCTAATTTTCCGTATTTCCAATTGGAATTGAACTCTGTCGTGCACATTTAGCCTGAGCACGTTTTTAGAGCCATAGGCGTACTGAACAAATCTAGACAATTGCGAAATCCGCTATTAAATGTAAATTCACATTTTAACAGGTGTCGTACTTGACGTGGCCGTAGTCGTTGCTTACGCTTCGTAGGGGAGTTTAAGAAAACCACGACGGCAAAGGGAACGTTGTTAAACAAAAGATTTCATCAGCAGCACAATGGCTGTGCGCGTGCGTTATAAATTTTGGTACATTTCTTTGCCGTCCTCTGCAAAACAGCAATTTTGGCTAAGTTTTGAAGTTTTTATTTCAAATTTATCGCTGCATGTGTTCCAGGCTTAGTTTGTGATAGTTTAGACGGTGATAAAAAAAGTAAATGACTCTAGAGTACCGCGAGATTCGTAGGTAAAATATAAATTCATTTCTTTAATCGACGTTGTCCTCGGCGTCGCCGTCGTAGTTACTTAAACTCCCTCTAATTGGCCCTACGACGACTCCTAAACGGTTTTCTTGCTTATTTTTTCACGCTTATGTGTTACATGTATAACGACTCGTCTCTTCTATTTGCGAAATTTGTACTACTTTTCCAAGGCAAATCAAATAGTATTGAAATGTGCGTTGTTTTAAGAAAGTTCATGCAGATACGAGCAGGAATGTAAAGTGAGACTTTGCTCAAACTTCAAAAACCTGATTTTTCATGGATAAAATATCCTCAAAATTAACGATTTGTGTGGTTGAGACTCAGAGAGGATAGTTCACTTATATGAAAGTGTTTTTTCTGCTAGTTACAGTAAATAATCATTTCTCGCGAAAGGCAAGCAGAAAGCAGTCAAAACAAAGGTCCTTTCTATTTGCATTCGCTTCCTCATGCAGTGAAACAAGCTTTTTTGTCGACTATCTGGATAAAATGAAGGGATGAGTTATTTTCATTTACGTTAGTTGCGTCTTTTGTTTTAAGATTTTTGTAATAAGAAAATCGAATCGCATTTTTTCACAGCCCACATTTTCATCGATGTTCTTGCTGTTTACCTTGAAATCCCAAGAGTAATCTAAATCAGCAGGAAATTTCTCTTTACAAAATGAATGCATTCTGAAGCATTCAGGTGATAAGAGTAACGAAAGTGAATAAACTAGAGTATAGCCCTTCCGGGCGACGTCAATAGCAGAATTATCAGAGGGCAATTTAACTTCAAAAATTTTCATACGCTAAGCGCGGTTTTTCCACTGCAAGTTTTACATGCGATGTTAACAGCCCATAACCCACCAGTATTTTATTTAATTCTGCTAACCTCTCTCAAGAAAAAAAAGACTTTCTGTGCAAGAGCAGGGATCCATAAAAAAATATATTGCAAGGCGGATCAATTGAATAACTGTACGACACAAAGTTCAGACAGTCCTTAACCATAGAACCAGTTTGTATAATTTCAATAGCCCTTGGGGTGACTTCAGAGACTTCGCAATCGTCACGAAAGAAACAGACTGCCAAAGACAGTTCTGTCAATGGAGCGCTTAGGGAGCCAAAACTATTATCTCAAAAGCAATTGTCTTCGAAAAAGTATATGGGAATGATGACTCAATAGGGTGTCTTGTTTACGTTCAGTTTATTTAATACAGCTCTTTAACAGCATTCATCAAAAGCGTCGCCACTAGGTCTAGGAGGGCAGGGCCAAGCTTATTAGCATTAATATTGGAAAAGGCTGGCAACTTATAAATCCCAAAAACACAATTATAAGAGAGAGGTAGACGCGACAAAAACGTTTATCGCATTCGTTTTTCGTTTTACTCGCAGCTTGGGGCAGTTAAAAAAATCATTATTTCTCGGCGTTATTAACTTGAAAAAAAACGATTACACGACTTAAAAACGACCTAAGCATAGAAATAGCGCCAAGGAATAATTCAAGAAAGTGCAAGGTCACTAACTATTATTAAATGATGATTATTGAGAAAATAATTGTTTGGAAATCTTTCGTCTCTATTCCACATGTAATTAAAAGGTTTTAAATTCACTCAACTCTAATAGATCACTTCTATTTAGGGTTTCATGTTTTAATGTTCCGCTTGGATAAAATATAACTAAGTAAATAGGAAACAATTTGAACAAGTCGTCTTAAAATTAGAAACACTTCGTATTTTGAGAATTATGTCTTGCAGAGTCCAAGATATCGCCGGTAAATAAGAAAATTGTTGCACAAGTGTACAGATAAGGTTCTCGTTTTATAGCTACCTTGTTTTTACAAAACCGTACTAGTTAGTGAATCCAAAATATAAACTTAAGTCATGTCAGTTGATTATTTTGCTGTTTCTGATTATTTTTCGGATTATTTAGTCTCCGCGGTGTCCTAACTGCCTTTTCCTTCTTAATTCTGTAGTTACTTCAGGAAACTACTTAAGTTGCACACTAATCAAACAATCTGTCTTGAAAGCGTTCAAAGGTTTACTTTGGCTTTGCGTCCAATTTCTGATAAATGTTTTTGCATTTCACTTTGTTGCAAAAGTGACAAAGGCAAACGTCGTTTTTTTGTTTGTTTTGTTTTGTTTTTTTGTTTTGTTTTGTTTTATTTTGTTTTGTTTTTTTTTTCATTATTTGTCCTAATGTGAACTCGTCCACTTGATGATCAATGGCGCCACTGCTACTGTAAAACATACGGCGTGTAAAAAAACAGCACTAGTGTCTTGATTGTTTCTTCCGTAGTGCGGAAGGTCACTGTAGTTTAAAACGTGCGCTCACATGTGATAAAATAATTTACATTGCGCCACGAGGAACAAATCCAAAATGAAACACACAAAACAGCGTATCCCGCGGATTGCGTGCTTCCCCGCCACCATTCAGTTGACTGGGAAAAAGAACTATTTTCAACCAATGAAGCCCACGGATTGTTTGAAAACGGAGGTTTTACTCTGAAAACACATCAAATGTTTTCCGTCCACATTACGTCGGAGAAATTGTAAAACGCAGCCATCACCGGTCATTTTCGATTTGTGTTTGAGGAAAACACAGGCAGGAAAATCAACTAATTATTACGGCGTCATAATTTTCGAAAAGCTCTATTTTCAAAATGTTTTTCTCTACTCTAAAGCGCAAAGCCGGCGTTTTCAAATTCCACCGGTTTGAAGAGTGTTTAGAAAAAGCGCCATTTTTATGACAGATTAGTGTGGACGGTAGGCCTAATCGTAGAAATAAAGCTGCGTTTTCAAATTTCTCCGGTGTAGTGTGGACGGAGCCTAAGCCGATCACGCTCGTGTCTAAATGAAAACCGTCAACCTCGTTCCCAGGGTCTCTCATCTTACCGCCCCCTGGAGCGAGCTCCAGGGGGCGGTAAGATAAGAGACCCTGGGAACGAGGTTGGAAAACCGTGAGATTCTTCTTCACGAAGAAAGCCGAGGATAGAACTGCTTACGTGCAAATATCGACGCGTCTAGCGGTAGCCCATCTTAAAATGATCAAACGAAAGCTTTTGAGCAATACTTTGATGCGGTACTGTTTATTATGCTGTACAAGGTGGTTCTAAGTTTTAAGTCTGTGAGTGAAACCCTCGTGTGTGACCATTCAAATGAAAGCTATTGAGCAGTACTTTCACGTGGTACTGTTTATTATGCTGTACAAGGTGGTTCTAACTTTTAAGTCTGTGGATGAAACCTCAGGGTGTGACCATTCAAACCAAGACTTTTGATTAGTACTTTCATGCGGTACTGTTTATTATATATGCGGTACAAGGCGGTTCTAACTTTAAAGTCTGTGGATAAAACCCTAGTATGTGACCATTCAAACGAGAGCTATTTCGCAGTACTTTCATGCGGTGCATTATATATGCGGTACAAGGCGGTCCTAATCTTAAAGACTGTAGATAAAACCCTAGTGTATGATTATTCAAACTAAGACTTTCGATTAGTACTTTCACTTACTACCCTTTATTATTCTGTACTAGTTCCTTCTAGCTTTTAAGAAATATATAAAACCAAGTTTGCGTATGGCCATTCGGATGAAAGCTAATGAGTAATACTCATATTTATCATGCTGTACAAGGTCACAAATTTAACCTTGTTATTGAACGCTACTGTGACCAATCATTTGAGAGCCGTTAAACATTTCTTTCATGTGCTGCAATTGCTTTCACGTGAAAGCAGAAAAAAAAATCATGAGTACTTTGGCAAAGTGGTTAATCTGTTGTGCTTTCAATTTTCTTTCAGGATCCCCATTTTGGTGCTTATTAGACATTGTTCCAATTAAGAACGAAAAAGGCAACGTGGTACTCTTTCTTGCTTCACACAAAGACATTACCAAGCGAAAAATAAGTGGAGAGTTCTCTGAACAGGATGTGGGTATGCAAATATTCTCATTTTTTATCATTATTCTAACTGGACGATAAAATAACATTGGCATCTTTGTACATGTACAATGTATGTGCATTGCTGACTATTCGGACAATCTAGATAAGTGAGTGGGGGAGCAAGGGGTGTGGGAGGTACATGTACATGTCTTAGGGAGGTAAGGGAGGAACTGTTCTGACAAGCTAGGTTGTCAGAACTAGGAGAAGTAGAGGAAAATTGCACAACATCATGTCAATTTTTGCAAATAGAAAGGGGTGAGAGCTGGGGGAAAGGAATGGGACATGGGAAACACCCCACCAAAATCTGCAATTTTTCCTACCCGGTTTATGACCTGACCAAATATTTGGGGGCCTATTTAAGACCCAACCTCGTTCCCAGGGTCTCTCATCTTACCGCCCCCTGGAGCGAGCGAAGAGAGACCCTGGTTGGGTCTGGTCACGTGTCTCCCAGAATCTGGGAGATGACAATTAAATTATTGTAGGGATGGGCGGCCTAGTAGGAATTTTGTCTATGCTTAGCCTACGGGAGTGCGGGAAGTGTTGTCACCAAAGTAAACCAAGAACGATATGATGTTCTGCGCCAATGTCCGGCGGTAATATTCTGCAAACGCCAAGGAAAACTTGTTTATCATCTGATAGCGGAAATCCAAGTCGCTGATGATTGTATGGTTCAGTGAAGGACGTTACATATTGTAAAAATCTCCTCACGAAGGCGAATGGAGAATTACACACCGCAGCCGAGGCTGTGTATGGAAGATGT